CACTCGGAGGAGCGCTGTTCGTGGCTGTCAGCCAGAACGTGTTTACGAATAAGCTTGTGGAGCACGTGGCGGAGTATGCGCCCGAGGCGTTTGAAGGGGACGCGAGCGCTATTTTGCTGGTTGGAGCTACGAGCGTGCAGGAGGCCATCAGGCCCGAGTGGTTGGATGCGATCGTTTTGGCGTACAATGACGCGCTGACGCAGACTTTCTTGGTTTTTACCATCTTGTCGGCGTTGAGTATTATTGGCGCTGCTTTTGTGGAGTGGAAGAGCGTCAAAGGGAAGGCGGTTGAGATGATTGCTGCGTAGGGGTAAGGGGTGAAATGGGTTATTCACTATTATTGTTATTTTTAATGAAGATGGCGTGGATGCATGGATGCATGGATGGATATACCTTTTTGTTTATAGATTTGCTTTTTCACTTGTATAATGTAATGAATCCCTACTTTAATGGTTGTATTCATATTTTTTCAAGTATTTCGTCTGTGGTGTCAAATCAAACGTCTTCGGGCATGGTGGTTTTAAATGGTATCTCAGGAGAGTAGGTTTTCATCATGTTTCCTTTTATTACTTTACACGTATAGATTCCTTACCCATCTTGTTCTTCTAAGAGTGTTGTCCGGCCCTCCCGCAACATATTTTACTCTTACTCACATCCATGCATACACCGGCCTTTTTCTTTTTTTCTTTTTTTTTCTTCTTCTTTTTCTTCTTCTTTTTCTTCTTCTTTTTCTTCTTCTTTTTCTTCTTCTTTTTCTTCTTCTTTTTCTTCTTCTTTTTCTTCTTCTTTTTTTTCTCTTCCTTTTGTCTTTTTTCTTCTTCTTTTTTTTCCTTCTTTTTCTCTCATTTATATAAACAACATGTTTTTATTGATGAGCGGCTTACCCGAGCCGAAAAAAAAAGCAAAAAAAAGCGGGAGGGTGTGAGGTGAGTAATTAGTCCAGCCAAGCAGGCGCACCAAACAACTATGCCGTCAAAGGTTTCGGGGAAAACTCTGTACGTACCTCCCTCAGTCCCTGTCTTCCCCCTTGTGGAACGCCCGCTGAAGTAGCTGTGTTTTTTTTTTGGAGGTTCACCCTAGTATTTGGTTGCCGATTTTCTTTTCCCCAGTTCTGAGGAACCGTGTACTGCTCTCCCTCCATCCCCAATCTTGTTTGCGTTCGGGCTGGTTGAGAGCCCAGCTCGTTTCTGTCTGTCGCCGAGGAATTATATCGCCCTTTTTGCTCAGCCTTAGTATGTATGTATCATGTAAATTGTGAGGTCAGGGGTTGAGGGGGGATTTCGGGGTATGGGATGTTGGGCAGGGGAGAAGGGGGGGTGAAGGATTCTGGGGTAGATTTTAGGTGTCTTGAAGAAGGGCTTAGGTACCCGAGGGGAAGGGCGAGGATGGTTGTTGATGCGGCTGTGAATGAAGGTGGGGTCATTTATTACACGTTAGGTTGAAATAATAGACATTGAGTGTGATTTCATTGCGTGGAAGTGAGCTGATCGTCATCGTGAACAACCTTTATATGGTAGACCTTTGCTTTGGCCAGATATGAAGCCCGACTTGCACACCTACGCCGATCACAGCACAGACGTTGGAGAGATTTTGGCGAGCCTTTTACTAAAGGTTTCGCCACAGGTGAGTTAAAGCTAGATAGACTGAGGGCATTCCCGTGACTTCCACGGCCGGTAACCCAATTCCTTTCCAACATCCAGCCTACTCATCAGACGACGGAATATCACAGACAAATCCCCAAAGATGAAGCCATCAATGCCAAGATTTGGAATCCATCCCATCAAAATGAGGCGAAGAGCGACGAAAGAAATGTGGAAACAACAAGGTCTAACTATGAAACCTCACATACACACACTCTCTCTCTCATATCTTTCCATCAATCCCCGAGTTACAACTTATACAACCTCACCTCCTCACCCTCCCCTTTCTCTTCCAACAACCTCCTGTTCTTATACCCATAAAACACCCTCAATCCCGCTACCCCAACAGAAACAAAAAATAGCATAGCCGCATTGACCCAGTGTCCGGTCGGATACCCACTGTCCCTCTCCTCGGCTTTGTAGATCCACACTCCCGGCATCTGCCCGACTCCGGCTCCGATGCTGACGTTGATGGCGATAGCCAGCCCAACCGAGGCAGTCGAGTACATGTTTGACGTCAGCCATCCCAACAAGGGCGGGATACAAGCAAACGCCCCAGCCGAGGCCACTATCAAGCAGCCATATCTCTCCAAATATGACTCTGGAGGGAGCAAAGCAGAAGCCATAAACCCGACGGCACCAACAAGAGCAAGCACCGCGCTGTGCGTGCCCCTGGCGTTAAAGTGATCCGCCGACCACGCAACGGCGATTTGGGTCACTATTTATCCATAATCAATCAGCATCAGAAACCCCGCCTCTCTCTTTTCTCGGAAGGAAAAAAGAATTACTCACCATAGGAAACCGCATAAGGGGGAACAGTCATCAACTGGGCCCTCAAATCTTTGTAGCCCAGCCCCGCAGTAATCGAGGGTGCAAACAACGAAAGGGAACTAAACGGCACCGACACCCCGAAGTAAACAGCATAGTGTCCATACAGCCTCCAATCGGTCAACGTCTTTTTGGCATCCTCCCACGTCATGCTTTTATCCTCCATTTGACTCCCCTCGCCCTTCAACCTCGCGGCCGCAACCTCTTTTTCTCTCTCCTTTAAGAAATAAGCAGTCTCGGGATAGTCGGGCAGCAAAAACCACACCAACACCGCACTGACGCAACTGGGAATGCCTTCGAGAATGAACAGCCATCTCCAGGCCGAGAGACCTCGAACTCCGTTCATTCCTTGGCCTATTCCGTAGGCTATCGAGCCGCCGAACGCGCCAGCGAGGGTTGCGGATGCGAGGATCAGCGCCACCCGGACTGACCGTTCGTCGTAGCGGTACCAAAAGGTTATGTAGTAGACCAGACCGGGGAACAGGCCTGCTTCGAAGGCGCCGAGGAGGAAGCGGACGCCGGCCGTGGCGGAGAAGGTTGTCACGCCGCCCAGGCCTATGGTGATGGCGCCCCAGGAGAACATGAGGAACGCGAGCCTATATTGCACATTTATTAGTATTACTTTGCCCAGCTTGCACATCTATCTTTCCTAATTCATCACCCGTTTTTTCATGCTCTGGCGTAATATACCCCTTGCCGTCCCGTCCTCATATAAATCTCCTTCATTACCGGCTATCACGTTCCTTTCATTCCACTCCTTATCGACCAGAGTCGCTTCACTCAAATACCTCCCCGCCATCCTGGTCACTCGACTGTCACCGCTCGATTCATACTCACACACTCACACCTCACACCAGAATTAAATACGTCAAAAGGGTAGTAAAAAAAAAAAAAGAATACATACCACCGACTAGGCCTCAACTTCTTCAAGCAGACGTTGCTCCCGACCTCAAAAACCGCATACCCGACCAGAAAAACCATCAAGGCAATGTTGAACTCGTACTGGCTTGCCTTGATCTCTGTCTGCATGTCGTTTTTGGTGCTCGAGTTGAGTATCCTTGCGTTGCCGATGTTGGAGCGGTCCTATACACGGTGGTTAATTAGTACAGGCAGGTAGGTAGGTAGGTAGGTAGGTCAGGTTTAATACCAAGTAGCATAGCAAGTATATGAAAGCGCAGAGGGGAAGGATGGTGAGGTCCTGTTTTAAGAGGAGAGATTTCTCTTCTTTTTCGGTGTAGGGTAATGATAATATGGGTGAGGTTTTGGATTCGAGTACTGGTGTGTCTTTGGATGCGGGTGGTGCATCTCGAGGGGAGGAAGGTGGTTCTTTCATGGTTGAGTAGTAGATGAAGTATGAGAGAATGAGAGAACGATAAATGAGAAGCACGCAAAAAGCGAGACGAGAAGAGGGCATGCAAACCGTTTTCACCGGAGGAGCGGTTTGGGGGCAGCTACGTAAAGTATAATGTTCCTTCTCGACATACACCTCATTGGGGATGGTGGTACATGATTAATATCCGGACCCACCGCATAAAAGCTTGATGCAACCACACGGGCACAAGCACTGTCTGTCTGGCACGGGGGATAATGGTAACGGCAGGAGCGACCGGCAGATGGGATGGGATCTACATATCGTTTCTGGTAATTGTCACGTTACGTAGAATGTGCGGGGCAAATTCTCGACAAGATATTCCCAAAGAAAAATGGAACGGAATAAGAAAAAGAGAAAGAAAAAGAGAAAGAAAAAGAGAAAGAAAAAGAAAAGGCAAAAGAGAATCTCCAATGGGTAGCCAACCCAAAAACAGGTTGAGGATATGATGCAATAGAAAGAAAGAAAAAAAAAGCAAAAGAAAAAGAAAAACAACACACCAATAAAGGTGGAAAAAGAATGACCTGCCCCGGAGTCGAACTCGGGATTTCGCTCAAGACATACCTGAGGCGTGTTACCGTTACACTAGCTGGTCGAAATTGGGTACAGGAAAAGAAGATTATAATGCCCTGCTGGGCATGCCTGGTTGGGAGAGAGAGGGAGAGAGCTCATGGAGGTTGTGGGGTTTGGTGGCTGAGTGAGGGTGAACCATACTTGGACTGAGATAAGGGAGAGGACCCTGGTTGAGGCAAGATAGCAAAAAAAAGATGACAAGAAGATAGATGACTTGCCCCGGAGCCGAACTCGGGATTTCGCTCGAGACATACCTGAGGCGTGTTATCGTGACAATAGCAAGTCGAAGATCGAGCCCAGAAAAGGGAATTATAATATGACGGGCTTGTTTGAGGTGAGATGACAAAAAAAGGATGGATGGCTGATCCCGGACTCTAACTCGGGATTTCACTCAAGACGAGAACACATCTGAGGGGTGCTACTGTTATACCAGCAGGTCGAAATTGGGACCCAGAAAAGGGAATTAAAACGTGCTGGGCTGGGCTTGGTTGGGTGTTTGAGAGAGAGGCAAAGCTCGTGAAAGTTGTGAGTAGACGATCGGGCCGTAGTTAAGGTAAAAAAAGGATAAAAAAAAAAAAAGAAGAGTAGGATGACTTACCCCGGAGTCGAACTCGGGATTTCACTCAAATGAAGACACATCTGAGGCGTGCTACCATTACACCAGCAAGTCGAAACTAGGATACAGAAAAGATAATTATAACCTGCTGGGCCCGGTTGGGTGTGAGAGGGTGCTCGTGAAAGTGTGGAGTGGTGTGGTTGAGCGAGGGGCGTATTGTGGTTGAGGTGAGATAAGGGAAAGAGTACCGTGGTTGAGGCGTGGTGAGGTGAGGTGGCGATGATGGTGATGATGATGTGGCTTGGCGGCGGCTGCCATGTGATAAAGCAAGGCAAAAGGAGTGGGCTGGCTGAAAGACTTGAGAAAGAAAACCGTATGGGTAGAGGGCTATCACATGATAGGGGAACACGAAGTAAATAACAAGCCCAAGTCTCGGCTCACGAGTCGGACCTCTTTTGCCAAGAACAAAAGCAGAAATAAATTCAGCTCCAAGCTCCTCGCTCCGATATCTCAACCAGAGCAAAACTAAACATCAAATGCCTACCCCTCAGAACAGCTCCAACGCCTTCTTAACTAATCCCTGCGCATCCTCACTCTCAACCCACTCCTCCGCCCTCTGAAATCCCTCCTTCCAAATCCCCCACCTCTCCTCACTAAACCCAATCCAATCCGCATGCTTCTCTTCATACTTTGGCCCAGCAACACCCAACCTCGAGTCAAAATCCTTCCCCTTCTTGGACAGCCCCTTCAGTCTCTTCCCAGCCACATGGACCCAAATAGCAGCCAATTTAACTCCTTCCTCCGTGTCCCCCTCGTTGGACTCAAACGCCTCCCTCAAAGTCCACAGCCCAAACAGAGAAAAGTCAAACACGGGCTTGACCGGCTCCAAGGCGGTAAGCGTAGCCAAGAAATAAGCAATATTCTCCCATTCTTGACGCTCCTCAGACTTGGAGTTGGCTTTGTCGTGAACGTCAAAGTTGAAGTTGTCCCTTGCCGCCCAGCCGAAAGTGGGAAGGTCGGCCCAGATTTCCTTGTCGTCGAATTTGAGATCGGAACGGGTGAGGGATTGTCTTTGGAGCTGTTGGAGGAAACCGATGATGTGGGTTTGGTTTTCTTGAGGTGTCTTTTTGATGAGGTTGAATATTGTTGCAAAGAGTGAGCCCAGGTAGTCAGACAGAAGATCGTGGATGAGGTCCTCCGAGTATGGATCGGCGGCTGTTGTCGGTCTGGCCGTGAGGGCGTTGAAGAGTTCTGTTATGGTCTCGACTGCGGATGTGATTTGTTTTTGGCTCGCGGATGGGGAGGCCAAGGGGTTCAGGGCCTCCCTTATGGTGACGGTGTGGTCCTCCTCGGAAGACATGGTGAGTGATAAAATTTGGGTTGTTGGGTTTTGGTGAGTTTTGGTTATTTGAGAGAATAGGATTTCTGGAGTGAGAGTGTGTTGAAAACGTCGTTTAAAAGCCGAATCCGGTACTGCCAGATATTTGTGAAAGAAAGGAAGGAGGGGTGGACGTTGAGGACGGGAGGTAACCGTTCTGCGCAACATTGTATTACGCACTCCGTACCGATTCACTGCATGCAGCGCCGGGTGCCGCCGGGGTTGACGTCAGCGGGGTAATTTTTGTTTGGCCTTCCCGCAGTCCTCGGCAACATAAAAAAGACGACGTTTTATAAATAATTCTGTTCGGCCCCCTGCCTGCCTCCTTTGCCAGTCTACACCGGCCAGTAAAAGGTCAAATAGGTACAAATGGACAAAACGAACAAAGATCACGATGCCTCGAGGAGACCGGGGATTTGATGCTGGTTGCCAGTAATATACGACTACGGAGTCTAACACTTTCACTTGTATCATTTCATCTCATCAATTGACTTGACCTTGACTCAACAATCTCTCAAAACTCCAGTCAAATTCCAAACAGCCAATAAAGAAGCACACCCGTGTAACCTGCCCAATGCAATCATGGACTGTTTCCCCCCAAGATATGCATGTTTGCCTCCCCCACGTTAGCTGATCTTCTCAGACTGATAAGCGGGGTCGCCGCGGCCAGCCACCCGTCAAAAATGTCGCTCAATCACAATGCGCAAGACGGGGAAAATGAGAATGCCAGTTGTCTCAGACAAAAAGAATCAAGGTCATCCAATCATTTAATTCATATTCAGCTCTCCTCCACCACTCCAAACTTGGCAAGCGACGGCTGAGCGCTCTTAGGGTCCTCTTGGCAGGGAATGCCATGGCCGCCCCTTGCTTGACCTCAATTTAAAACTTCCAGAACGACATCTTTTTTCTCCTTCTCTTGACCACAACCACCATCACGATAAAAATACAATGGTCACGATCAAATCCGCTGTCCTCCTGGCGGCGGCATACGCCCTCTCCCTGACGGCCGCCCAGGGAACCTCGTCCATCAGTAGCATCTCGTGCGGTTCAAAAACCTACACGAAACAGCAGGTCGACGACGCCACGGCCGAGGGCTGCCGCCTGTTTGCGAGCAACCAGCAGATAGGAAACAACAAGTACCCGCACAGGTTCAACAACTTCGAGAACCTCGTCTTTGCCACTTCTGGTCCGTACCAAGAATTCCCCATCGTTTCGAACGGGAATTACTCTGGAGGTTTGTTTTTCTGTTCCTTTGCATATATATTACTGAGTGGGCGGGCGGGGCTGATATTGACTGTGAAATAAAATAGGCTCTCCCGGAGCTGACCGAATTGTGTTTAATCCAAATTATCAAGGAGGGTGCGTGTACGTGGGCTCGATGACGCACACGGGGGCTGCGACGAATAATGGGTTCGTTACTTGTTCCGAGAAGAGCGCCGGTAGGCCGGGTACTGGGAGCGGGTCAGGGACGTCCACCACGGCTTCCGGGAGTAGCACTTCGGCTACTTCTGCGCCTACGGGGTCGAGCACTGCCGGCCCGGAGGGTTCGGGAGCGAGGCAGATGTTGGCTTGCGGAGGGCAGGGCTTGGCGGTTGGGTTGATGGCTTGGGCTTTTATGTTGTGAGGGAGGTGGAGTGTTGGGTATGATGTTATAAGATACCACCGAATATTAGTTGGGAATTGTGAGTTTATCACTTTGAGAATTCATTAAGGCTCTGCCTTCTTTTTCAAAACGTGGAAATAACGGAATATCCAACGTCCCCATGGGCTGTGGGAACACTTTCCAAAGTCATAGTGATTGACGGCTGAATTGTGGACTTGCGCGTTGTTTAGGCTTCTCTGTGATCAGTCAAATCCATCTTTTTTTCTTTCTTTTTTTTCCAATTGGTTCACTTCTCTTTGTTTCCAAGCTGTTGGCAGAATGTCTTTATTTCTGAGGATGCCCAAATATGTTCTAGCATTTGTTTGAACAAAGGCTTTGTCTCAAAATTGCTTCACTCCCGTTCACTTAGAGATTGATGGCTATCACAATGCGATTATAAAAAGGAAAGCAAATACCAGAGCCTTTAAGTTCCCGATTGCTGCTCGGATACAATCTAAACAGCAGCCAAAAGCCCATGGGAGAGCAAAAGTAAATAAAAATAACCCAAGTCCCAGCCGGCACCGCCGTCATGTCCCCAGCACCGCCAAAACGTTCACCTCGACCAGACTGGGCCAAGCTCACACTTTTGACCCTAGTCATCAATACTTCAACTTCTTCGACTCAAGGTCAAGAGTGGACGAAACGGCTGATAGATCTCGTACCCCATCGACAACAGAACAAATCCCGTCAATATCTGCCAAAGGACTACAGGTGGGAGGTCTTGAAGGACTGGCTTCGGATTCAACTCAAGTTCAAACCGAAAAAGGACAACCTTCATGCCCTCGACACTCGCCGAGCTTTTACGCACCTCAAGTCCAACACAGACTGGGAGAAGCTTTTGGTCGAGTTTGCTCAGACTTCAGATCAAACTCTCACCGAGATCAAGCTCAAAATAGTCTGCCGGCAGACGAGAGCACCACAAAGATCAATGAACAGCAACACTCCATTCGCTTACTCGACCTTTGAGATGGTGACCAGGTTCAACCTCAAAAATGACCACCAGCTGAATTACGAGAAGAACGGATTGACCCAGTGGCCTGATCTGGGTTTCCAATTGGGGATATTCACCGAGGATCAGTACGAGCAACACAAGTTTGGGGCATCTAAAAAGAAGCTCCAAGCTATCTCCCCAATCGCCGAAGAACCCGCCGAGGAGGAGGAGGAGGAGGAGCCATACAACATCAACACAGCCAAGGACGTCGACTTTGGCATGGCCAACTCTGGTGTTGTCGACACGTACCTCGGAAGCTGCAACACCGGCAACACCGAGTTTGAATGGCACACATGTCTCGACTTCTTCGGCATCAACATCGATGAGTACAACAGGCAAATGGCCAGCAAACCCTCCGTCAGCCAACATGTGCGGGTGCCGTTCAAAAAGTTCCCAGGCATGACTGTCGGCCTGTTTGACTACCAACTCGTGGCTGTTTACAACCTCATCAAGCTCCAGCTGAATGACGTCTCGGGCGGATTCCTCTGTGACGAGCAAGGACTCGGCAAGACTCAAGAAATGTTTGGTCTCATCGCGTTGGCTCACAACCTCCGCAGGTGCAAGGCTGAAGTTGACGAGTTTTGGTCTCCCAAGTCTACTGAAAAGAAGAAAGCCCCAGCTGTCCGTCACAATCTTGCCTCTGACCCGGTGGCACGCTCCTGTCCGTACGACCAAAAGTACAGCTTCCGCTGCTACTGTTACAACAAGCCAACCAGACAAATTGCCGACCTTCTTCCCGATGGTCCCAATATCGTGGTTGCTCCGGCAAAAAGCTGTGCTCCCCTGATCCGCGAGGCCAAGACCAAGCTTGACACCAAGACTCTCAAAATCAGGGGCTACGGCAAGGACGCTGACAAGGAGAACCAGCTGACGCCGCGGGACATTTCTCTGCTCCAGGCTACCATCAAAGCCAAGCAGAGACCTGGTCAGACTGAGGTTGAGTACACTTATCAATACGGTGCAGGTCAAAGCGACTACATCATTTTGGTCTCCCCCGAATCTGTCGACAAGCTCAACTCCGAGTTCAACGTCGCAGTCAAGGGAAAGAAGAAGAGCGCCCTTCTGCCCGGTATTCTGATGCTGGACGAGTTCCACGAGTACGC